TCTGGGAGTTGAATTCCAAGAACATCTGGAGGCCCAAGGTTGGGGAACCACTGATCTAGATGACCTTTCTTTAAAGAATCCAGTAAATTTATGGGAGTTTGAGCTAGTCACCGTCATGAATACTGAATGGAACATCTCAATACAAGATAAACAGATCACCACATTTAAAGTGTTGGGTGCTTACAATGAGTAGGGTTAATCATACTCTTCATGGTCAAAGAGGTTTCAGAGCCTCCTGGCAGCCACTGTGGGGTTTTGGCCTTTTACCTCCTTGATGAATACTCTGGTCAGATCCTGCATGGATTAGGACAACGTGATCCTTTCAGGTAACCTGTGGTCTTCAGGTATTTTCAAACTAACCGATAATGATGATGGTGTGTTATGAAAATTACAGATGTCCACGTGTGATTTATGGTGAGGACAGATTAAAATTTGGCAGCCCTGGTTTTTTTTTCCCCTGGCTAATTTAATGTCTGAGCCTGGGAAAGTTACAGAAACAGGTGTGAACTTTTAGTTAATCAGTATTATTATTATAATTTATAATTCTAGCCTTCCAGGAGTAGCAGTTACCTTAAGGGCCTTAAGGAATCTCTCCAAGAACGCCCCGAAAAACTTTGCAAACCAGAAGCGTCTGTCTTGGCACTTCCTGTTTGAACATTTGTTGGCTTCTGTTTTAAAAAAATAGCAATTTTGGCCATTTCCAGGCTTGGAACAGCTTATGGTCGGGGTTGGGGTAGCTGATTTGTTCCCCCAACCCCACCAGCTCACAAAATGCACCCATCTCTGCCCTAATCATCATCATCATCATCATCATCATCATCATCATCATCATCATCATCATGTGCCATCAATTCTGACTCATGACAAGGCTTTTCAGGGCTTTCTAGCTAGAATGTACTCAGAAATGCATTACCATTCTCTTCCTCTGGGGGCGCCCTGGGACTGTGCAGTTTTCCCAAGGCCACGCAGGCTGGTTCTATTCAACAAGAGGCACAGTGAGGAATCGAACTCCCAACCTCTAGCTCCACTATCAGGTATCTAAACCACTGAGCTATCCAGCCAGGGTTAGATTTATCCCTTCCTTTTTTTAACCTATGAAGAAAGAGGAGAGTAAATGGAGAGCTTGGAACCCTAGGCACACCATAGTCTGCTCATAAACAAGCTTTATATATTCATAGTGGGATGGAGTTCTCATGGCTCTGCAGGTATTTGTACAGTCCAATAGCCATTAGTCCTGATCAGTCGGAAACAATGGACGCTATAGTCTAACAATATCTGGAGAGCCATAGCTTTCCAATTGAGTTTCAGTAGCTGCCTGAATCAGGCCTTTGCTTTCATGTGACCAAGCAGGCTGTAAGATTTATCAAGTATATTCTGAATATGCCAAGTGTTGCACTTTATATATATCCAATGAAAGACACATGTACTCCCACTCAGAAGCTTTATTTTTCAAAACTGAAGATAAAGAAACAAGTTGTGGAAACAGGCAAAGTGGCTTTAAACTAAGTCCATCATGTGGGTTTATGTAGTTTGTTCCTGCCCATTATCTATCCAGTTCCTTTGGGCGTCCATATTGCCACAGGGACTGGAAACCAAGCCCTATTAGGAAGGACTGAAAGAACTGGGCATGTCTCTGAAGAGAGATGGGACAGCACATTTCAAATACAGTGGTGCCTCGCAAGACTATTTTAATTTGTTCCGTGAAAATCGTCGTCTTGCGGAAAAAATCATCTTGCAAGGTTCCTGATGGGAAACTCGCAAGATGAATGAAATTTTTTCATCTTGCGAGGCATCGGTCTCAGAAAAAAAAAATCTTGCGAAGCACGGCCATAGAAAAAAAAGTCTTGCAAGGAGCCGTAGGGAATCACAAAAAAAAAACAATCAGCTTGCGAGGCACCACTGTACTTGAAAGGTAGTCATAAAGAGAAGGGGCAGGATCTGTTCTGTGTCATCTCATACTGGGCTCAAGTTACAGGAAGCCGGAGTTAGGCTGGAAAAAATTCTCAACTGTTAGAGCAGTACAACAGTGGAACCCATGACCTCGGAAGGTGGTGGGCTCTCCAGCACTGGAGGCATTTGAGAGAAAATTGGACATCTGCTTTGACTTGGATTCCTGCCTTAAACAAGAGGTTGGACCCGATGGCCTTATAGGCCCCTTCCAACTCCATTATTCTATGATGCTACGATGCTATAGTGGTAGATGGCAGGCCTCTATATATCTTCAGAAAATTTGCCAACTTGCAGGGTGAGCCCAAGCCACTCTGTTGGCACCCCTTCTCTCCCCATGTAGAAAAGCCAGCTGAGTTGGAGGGAAATTAATCCTTCCTTATTTGGCAACACTGGCCTTTTTCTGAAACAGAAGGCACTTAGGAGCCACAGGACAGGCTGCAGGGTGCACAGCTCTTGCCTCCAACATTTTACTGCCCCCTCCATCATCACTTGCACACACTGCCTTATGGAGGGGGCTGGTTCATAAGGACTGTGGGATGTATGGTTTTAAATCATCTTTCTGGATAAAAACACTAGGGAAAGAAAACTCTGAGTGTGTTTCTCTTCTCAGCTACAATTCTTTGAGTTTGGTCCCAGCAGAGCTTGGAAATAACTATTTACAAATAACTAGTTACTTGTAATGAGCTCCTTCCCCCTGCAACAAAGATATAATATCGGCAATTCCATTGCCGATTATAACTTGGCAAAGAACAGCTTCAGTATTATTATTTTTTTGAGGCATGAAGGTTATGCGGTAAGTTTTATGTAAGGATACTATCGTAATGACAGGGTTGTAGCCTCACAAAATTGCAGAGGAGGAATACCATTTGGTTTAAGTTCTGGCTTGCACTATGTGTCACGCCACTGCATTATCAGCTGTTGTGTGTTTTAAGCTTTAATATTGTCCGAGAAGATTTGGGCAAGCTTTCTGTAACCAACCAATAGCCTGCAGTCTTGGGATTTTTCAAAAAGTATCTGCTTCAATTACTTCTTAGATACAGAAAAGAAAAGCATCACTTTTTACAATTGTAACTCAAGTGACAACTAACTACTTTTGAGAGGCTTGGAGTGGTAACTATGCAGTCTTCCCAGAATAGTTCATTAGAGTACATCACTTCTTTCTTCCCTCTTTGATCCAGGTGGTGAACGTTGGATGATGCTCCTGATGGTTCACCCAGCTATGTGGAAACAAGTTCCCCACAACTATTAACAGTCAATTGCAATGCCTGCTGATGCTGTTGAACATCTGGATCTTCAGTTTAAAATGATAATCCCAGTCTCATCAAGCTCTTAGGCTCCTGCATTATAAGGTAGCCACTTTTCTCCACCCCACTTCCCACCGAGCAACCCTATTCCTTACGTTAACAACACGGCAAGGGTGCCTAGTGTTTGTAGTGTTTTTTTAAGGAAAATGCTGTAATGATAGTGATTTAACAATCAGTGCCTTCCCTCGTTCTGGCATGAGCCCTAATGCACAATGACCACCGATCTGTTACGCCATTTAAGAGGGCCTTGGGAAAATAATTACAGCATTGATCTCAGTCCAAAAACCATCTCTGTTCATGTTCGCACTTAATCCTGGTGTTGCCTATCACAAGGATGAGGTGGGCGGGCTCCAGGAGCTGCTAGAGCTGTGGAGTAAAGGAAATGGTACAAAAAAGCAAAGCACTCTGCTTACATACCACCGCATGGTGCTTAAAGCACTCTCTAGGCTGTTTGCAATTGAAAGCAAAGCACTCTGCTTACATACCACCGTGCTGTGCTTAAAGCACTCTCTGGGCGGTTTGCATAAGACGCACCTTTCCATAAGACGCACCAATTTTTTAGGAGAAGAAAACAGGAAAATATAATCTGTTTTCTTTGCTCCATAAGACCCACAGACTTTCCACCCCCGTTTTGTGGGGGAAAAGTGTGTCTTATGGTGCGAAAAATACGGTATGTTGGTTACACATTACCTCTGCCCACCCCCACCCCTGGTGAGCTGGGTACTCTATTTACCAGCCTCAGAAGGATGGAAGGCTGAGTGAACCTCAAGTCGGATACCTGGGATCAAACCGGGGTCCTGAGCAAAGTTTTGGCTGGAGTATTGCCGTTTAACCACTGCACCACAAGGCTCCCTGCTGCCAAAGCACTAGCAACTGTAAGCTCAGGAAAGGACAGTTCATGAAAAAAAAATATGGAAAGATCATTTTCAAAACCACTGGAATGGGGGTCGTGGTCAAAACTGGAAACCATGTGGTAAGAAGGCAGCTGCTGACATGGAAATGGATGGAAAGGGAGGCCACTTCGATATGAGAGACCATGGGAGTTCCTAGAAACACCCCCACAGAATAAACAACCTGGAATTTATCATTGGGAAAGGTGCATGGCCACAATTTCATAGAATTCATAGTGTGCACGCACTCACGCACATATGCACCTTCATTCAAAATCTTCATTCCCTGGGGAGTAAAAAGGGCAGCTACATTTCAAGGAAAACTACCCAGCATCATGTGAGATAAGCTGAATGTCATATGGATATATGAGGGGAAAAACAAAACCCCGAACGGTACATCTGAAAGAGCTACATGACTAGCTACTTTTTCAGAAGCAATTCACCAAGTTTTGGGCCCAGGTATCTTAAATCTTGATAACAGCAATCTGAGAATTCACAGAGGTTCAGGATATTTATTTTTGGACTGGAAATTCCAGGTTGCCAGTCTAGCTGGTAGGCTGGCAGCTGGCATCCAAAATTAAAGCTCTGGGCGTTTTATACCCACTCATAAATGCTGTCTCGCATGTTCATGGACTTGTACACGGAACACACTTCCCATCGCTTCAAAAGCACAAGACGACATCAGATCAACAGAATTTAATCTAGTTTATTCTCCAAAAAAAAGAGAGAGAGAAAGAGAGGGAAAAAAATAAGAAAACAAAACCAAAAAGCGCAGTTCTTAACACTAGCAGTAAGTAAAATTTGTACAACCATTCAATCTGTTTCATAGGATGAAATAAATCTACATCTTGTCTTATTTTGGTGCTTTGCGTTATACATACAAACAACAATTACAGGGACTTGTTCACAATGCGTATAGGCCTGAACAAACTTGTCACGGCAAGGAGCAACACATCACGCCCGCTTGCCCTGAAACCTTTCAAAGCTTTCCCCTTAACTCAGCGGGCCCAGACCTTGGAATGGATGATTTGCCTACAACTTGGATTAATTTATTTTTTAATGCATCAAAACAACTGGAGCCAGTAAGTGAGAGAAGAGAGAAAGAGAGAGAGAAAGAGAGAAGCATAAAACACAACTGGCAGTTTTGTCCTTGTGCCGGTTTGACCTCATCCTTCTCGGACCTGACGGCGAACTGTCCATCTCAGTGTTTCGTTTGCAGTGCTTGGACTGAGAACTCCGAGTTATTTCTTTGTCTTTGCTTTTCTACTTCTTCTTCTTCTTTTTAAAACAGATAACAAGCTGTCAGAGTCTTCTCCAAAAAAAATGTACAATATTTCTTACAATATAAGTTATACAGTGTTCTGTACTGATTTTTCTTTGTCTTTGAAGGAGAGGGGACGAAACGGGAGGGCGGCCTGTTGCTTCTGTCTCACAGCACGAGAAACCCAGTTCAAGAGCGAACGTATGTAGGGATGGTTTATTCACAAATGGGATCCAAATTTGGTGGCTGAGAACACACACAGAGGGAGAGAGCGTGCAACGCACTGCACTGTTCAGCTTCCCACCGTTTCCTTAAGTCTGTTGGTTTTGATGGCTTCAGCCAGTGTTCAAATTCTCGTGTGTTTTTTTTTTTTTTCCTTTTCTTTCCTTCTTTTCTCTTCCCTCCCACCTTCCGCATTTTGTGTCCCGGGGCTTTGAATGGGCAGAAGCGCTCATCTGTCATGAGGCAAGTGGAGGGAAAAAACCATACCTCTCATTCTGAGAACATAAACAACGCGTCAGGGCAGAGCAGGGTCCCTCTCTTTCCGAGAAGGCAAAAGGGTTCTTAACCCATGGCTGTGACCATACTGGACGGATGGTGAGGTCCGAAGGATAGGCTGGAAGGCGGGTGCATCGGGGTGGGCGTGGTGAGCATGTGACCCGAGTGGCTGAAGGGCGAAATGTGGCTGATGGAGGACATGTGTCTCGAGAGGGCGGCCGGGTTGAAGGAGCTGCTCTTGGGGAAGTCGTCCAAGCTGTCGTGGACTTTTTTGCACTTTTTCGACTTGCTAGACATTTTTCGGTTTCGAGTCTGGATGCCTTCCTTCTTCATAGTCAGGGGTCTGTTAATCTAAACAAAAATCAATTAATTTTGTTGTGGGGCTGTCTCCTCTCTCCCCCCCCAAACATACACACACATCAACAGCCAGTTCGACAGAAGCATGGGACACTTATGTCTCTCCGAATGTGGCCGGCCTGAAATAGCCCATCATCCTTTATCCCTCACTAGGTTGGCTGGGGATGATGGGTGTCGTAGTCCCACAACATTTAAAAAGACCAGAAGGTGGCCTGTCACCTTTTCTCTGTTTTGTAGTTCGACCAGAAGGTGGCCTGTCACCTTTTCTCTGTTGTAGTTCTAGGAGGAGTAGCCGTGTGAGTCTGTGCAAGCATTAGAGATGAAAAAAATAAAAATAGAAAGCAAAAAAAAAAGACAAGAATATAGTGGCACCTTAAATACTAACTTTTATCTACCGTATTTTTCTGTGTATAAGACTATACTTGTGTCTAAAATCTTTAGACTAAAAATTGAGAGTCATCTTATACACAGAAGTAAGCTGAGGAGAGAACAAAAACAAGTGGAGGGAAAAGCAGGGATCAAAGCGATCCTGCAGCGCTTTGATCCCTTTCCCCCTACACTTGCTAAGCCCCACTTAGATTTCTTAATTTTGGATTAGAAAAGTGGGGGGTCTTATACATGGGGGTGTCTTATACACAGAAAAATACGGTATATTTTTAATGTGAGCGTTCAAAAATACAAAAGTTAGTCTTTGACGTGCCGTCATGTTTTTGTCTTTTCTCTGTTGGGGTTCTAAGGGCATCAAAGCTGACTCCTGACTCCAGTTTGAAGAAGGCACTCATTAAAATATCTGCCATGAGTGGTCTATTATACTGCTCACCTCCAAGTGCAGGCTTGCTTGGTGGTGGTGCCAAAATGCTAAAAATTACCATTTTTCAATTTCTCATAATTCCCAGGAACACCCAAGATGGATTTACTCCAGGGTGCTTTAGGAAATTAAAATGGTGCTTCCTCCCACATCTGTTGTTCTGTTTCTAACTTAAGGTGAGCTGATGTTATTCACTTATTACCACCTATTCTATAATGCATCTGCCCCACAAGGCTGTTTATGATAAAAACAACAGGCTGGAAATACACCCAAATAGGTTATCTAAGCCAAAAGAACATACACAAGCAACTATGTTATGCCACAATTATTTGATATTGTTCCTTTCCAGCCTGCCTGCATTTAAATATGAATGCTGACACAAGCAATGGGCCCAAAAGCTGGGATTTGAGGCAGAAAAGCCACTAAGACCAGAATGAGTAGCTAGGAAATGAGGAAACACAATCAAAAATAGACTCTCCTTTGCTCTTTTGATACAAGTAATGAAACAGTTAGTGTTGTTAAATTGAACCCTTTAAGAAATCCTCAAAGAAAATTTGGAGCCGATAGGAACCCTACGAAAACCATAAAAGGTTGTCCTATTATGTTGCCACCAACTAAATCCCAGTGGCCAGCTCCCAGTATGACACTAACAAGCCTTTCCTTTTCTCCCAGTACTAGACTGGACTTCCTTGATAAGCCCTCCTCTGAAATGTACGTCATGCAACTTGCAGGAATGGTTTTAGACAGATCTCAAGAAGGGCATTCTTAGGATTGCAAATGGCTTGGACGAGACTTCAGGAACTATAATTTTTGTTTTTGGACTACAGCTTCCAAAATCCCCAGCCAACATGATCATAGTTTTTCTCAGCGGGGTGTCCTAGAAGCTGCAGTCCAAAAACAGTACATTTTCCAACTTCTGAAGACCTGCTGAACCCCCTAAGCCAGCATCATCCAGATGCGATGGAGCACAGTGACCATCATCCTTAGGCAACATGGCATCTGTCCTGGCTAGAGAGATGGGAGTGGTAGTCTCATGCACCTGGCAATGTAGATGGGAAGTAGTGGGGGAAAGCTAGATATAAATACGTGTCTTTGGACCTGTAAGTGTTACTGTTGCTTACAGTAAGAAACCAAATACAGAGGAAGTGGTTTCCTAAACATCTTTCCATTCTCAGCGGTGGACCTGACATGAATTCATGGAAAGTTACCACCTGGTAAACAAGGTTTCCCATGAATTACTTACTTGCTGTGTAAAGTGTGTGAGTTACATCCAGACTCATTTAGCCTCCACCCCCCCTTTTTTTTCTATTTCTTTTAATGGTGGAGGAGATAAAACTGATCCTGCAGTTGTCTGTGAGAGTAAAGCACCCATTACACCCTCGCTAGCGCAGTTGGGACTGATGGGCATTGAAACCTGAGAGCAGGAGGTCCAAGCGTGCTCCATTCCTTGTTAATGAGAACTGGAATGGAGGAAAGGAAGGGGGGGAAGAATGAAAGGCGGAAGGAACACAGGGAAAACCTTTCCACCAGGCTTCAGAGACTATATGATGGTCTAAAGGAGGCCAACCTTAGCCATGTTTACTCAGGAGTAAACCCTCTGTTTTATGGGGCTTGCCCTGAGACTAAGCTTGGAAAAGTTACTTGCTGGCTGAGGTATTCTGGGAATCGCAGTTTTACCAAATAACTTCAACACCTTGTTCCCGAGTAAGATAAATAGGCCAAAATCCTGTTCTGCAGTTAGGCAAACGGAGTAACCGCCAGTGGCAAACTGCCATGAGTTACAAAATCTCCATAAACATTATCTATTGGATGCCAAATTGCACTGCTCGGTATACAACAAATAAGAGCTGTCTTAACATATGGCAGCTCCACAGTAAACGTTACAGCTTTGGCGTAACTGCACAACAGGATTTTGACTACTAGCAATTCCTGTTTCCTAGGTGGCGTGTGAACTGCCTCTCCGTCAGGATGAAATAGAGGTAAGTCCCTCGCCATTGGTGATGATGGCTAAAGATGATGGCGGTTGTATGCAGCAAACTCAGACTTTTGACATGAGCCTTATGTAGCATCCGTCTTCAATGGGTAATGTGTAAGGCCTGGTTTTGTCAGTACTCTAGCTGCCCGATGTCTTTTTAATAGTCAAAATAAGGAAGATACTAAATCAGGTAAGATTTGTAGAGAGTGAAACAAAAATGGGAGGCAATTAAGAAAAAAATTTCACTAGCCAAAAAAGACAATATTTGACTCTTGAGGAAGTTATCCTGTGATGGGGAGACACGGTAACACTTTTCAAATCGAAAGATCATCATAAAGAGGGGCAGGATCTGTTCTCAATTATCCCAGAGTGCAGGATGCATAACAGGCTGAGTATCAGCAAAAACTTCTTAACGGTTAGAGCAGTACAATAATGGGACCGATTGACCTCAGGAGATGGTGAACGCCCAGATGCTGGAGGCCTTCAAGAGAAATGTGGACAACTAGTCAGATCTGCTTTGATTCGGATTCCTGCCATGAGCAGGGAGTTGGACCCGATGGCCTTAAAGGCTCCTTCCAAACCTATTTTTCTATGATTGCCATTGTTACAGAGAGGAAGGCTGGTTTATTTTCCTACCCCCTAAATTTACTCACCCAAAAGTGAAGATGGGGGCGGAGAGCAGCTAAGCCCACTTTAAGTCAGAAAGAAATACATATATTAGATCACCTATCCCTGTCTAAGCCCAGCTACTTTTGAAGAAGGGTTATGTGGGATTTTTCAACTCGCTTATTTCTGAAGTGCCATATAAAAATGAGAAACCACTGAGAAAATATATATATATAAGAGAGACCGGAGCCGAGGAGCTGAAACAGTCTCTTCATGAGCTTTCCATTCATACTGTTCTGGTACTAAGCGAAGGAACTAAAATGTCAGTAAAATGTCTCTGTGGTACAAATGCTGCCACATTAGACCAAGAGAGGAGACGGCAATCTACCAGATGTCATGTTCAGTAAGAGCAAGCACCTTCTTTGAATGCCAGCCAGTAGATAGCCAAAATGGCACCGTTTACACAGAAGAAGAAGAAGGCGCTGGCCATGTTAAAAGCTCAGTGTTGGGGAACCTCATGGTGAGAAGGACTCAAAAGCAGCCCATGGAAGAATGAAGTGTGCTCAGTGTGTTGGAAAGTCTAACTTGTTGAGGAAGACACGGGAAAACGGGGTGGTGAAACAAACGGAGTATTCTGGAAATGGGATACATTTGATTGGCTGGCGCATTGAACAGGAGCAATCCATTGGGTAGTTTCCTTCCAAGAAAAATCATCAAGACCTCCGAAGCCATGATCAGCTCAACTCACAAGTGGGTTGAAAACATTTCACAAGTGAGTGGAAATAAGACAGTGAAATGTTCAACCAGCGGAAGCATCCTTCATTTGCCATCTCCCATTTTCTAAGCTGTAAAATCATAAAGCCTTTTCAGTATCCAGTCATATTTTATTAATATCCTTTGCTCAGGATGCATTGTAGTTCACTGGACACTAATAAGGTGTGCTGAAGTGCACTGTGTTCAACTGTAGTGGGCCCTAAGCTGAAGATGATCTATTGAGCCCTTCAGCTGATCTGCATCACCATGGAATGTGCTTCTTCAATTCGATAATGATCTTTTCTTGAAAAAAAACCAACAATAATGACATAGTCTAGCTTGATGCCAGAGACTTCAGGGGGAGAGAGTTACCATCTCACTTACATTGTGGAGCTTATAATACAGCCCGCAGGCGTTGCAGACTGGGTCGCCATTGGCGTTTCTCCTCCACAGGGTGGTGGTGGTGGTCTGGCAGTTTGCGCACGACGTCCCTGCCCTTCTTGCAGCCGACTGGAGAGGAAAGAGAGGACACAACCAGGTCACATAGCTATCCAAAGGTGGAATCGTCAAGACCTTGAGATGCGGGTCTTTGTCCAAAGAGCGGGCGCCAACTACTATCCCGAACATTCACAACAATAAGCAGAACATCCCAGGGCAGCCATGACATAACTGTGGCCATCTCCGTTCGAGCAATTTCCATGCATTTTATTTGTAACTGGACTGGATCTGGATGGAGATGGATTTTGAGTTAGACCCCTTTGGCCCGTATGCTGTTGAAATCTCAAAGTGCCGAAGCAGCGTATGCGATCTCACAATTCGCCCATTGCAATGGGTTGTCCCTCACACTGCGCAATGGACGGCCCACAAAGAGCTAAAGCCACTCCCACAATGGCCTTTACACATCTGGCAGAACCCAGCAGGCTCCTGCTTGTTGTTTGTACTGGAACTCAATTCTGGCTCCATCACTTTCACTGAGTTTACTCAGACTATGATTATAGCTCAATCTATATGTATCTAGGAACAGTGGCTCAAAGTTAGCAGGAAGTTGGCAATGGTGTCGATTATACTTTATCCAATCTCCCCAATTAATCTGATCAAAGTAACAAAATCCTGCTGGCAAACACAGAGCGTTTATGAGCTCTACAGATGGATTGCTTTGCATTTGTCCATGTAATCCCCGGTTGGAGATCACCCCGTTAAAAACAATGAGGATTTCCACTTGTGCAAAGGGTGAATGGATTCTAACCTTTCTCTCCAGCTATTATACTGACCTAATCCAATAATACTCCATACCCTGAAGTATTGTTTGTTCTGTTTCCTAAACATTAGCCGCCTAGAGGTTGGGAGTTCGTTTGACCAGATAGGCGGGATATAGATACAATAAATAAAATAAATAAACATTACCCCAGCATCCCTTTTGAAAAGATGCTGTACAAAAGGCCAACGTTCTTACACCCATTTCACAGATGGGAATAGAAAGGACTGCATCAAGCCAGCTGATAAATGTCTGCCTGGCTGGTATGAGATTTGAGCAAAATGTTTACTTAATTGCTCATGGACAAAGCTATTCCTTTACAGCAATTCTAAGAAAAAATATTGACTTAGTTGCATCATCTCCCAGAACGGAAACGGTATGAAGTGACACGATTCTTCCTCCACCTTCTATATCAGCTTTCCAGCTTCTCAGCTTGGTTTAAAAGGGCTTTCATGCTGTTGGAGGCTAAGTATATGTGATGCTACATCCATGTAAATTTGCTTCAGGCTTTCTTGAGCGAATTTTATGGGATTTAAGAGATGTCAGGACAATTTTCTGAACCGCAAGGACCGGCAGTAACAATTGCCCTTGCTCCAAACACTCTGTTTCTCCCAATTTTTCCTATGTATTCCTTTATTAGTACCCTCGGCTCACCAGACATAGCCTGTGTACACTAGGCTGATTGGCATTTTTCCCATCTTAGAGATTTCCCTGCTCAAGGATTCTACACTATTTTTGACAATAACATTTCTGCTATGTACTATATAACTGCACACACCATTTACCAACAGCAGTGAATGTGTCTCATGTTCTTTATAATTTATCACATGGTTCCCAACCTTCGGTAACCCAGTGTGTTCTGCAAGTCCCAGAAGACTTCTGGGAATTGCAGTCCAAGAACACTTGAGTTACCCAAGATTGGGAACTGCTGATTTATCAAGGTCAGTGCAGATGAACTTTCTCAAACTAGCTTCTGTGGTATAGGTATCTGGCTCTGGAGCTAGAGGTTGGGAGTTCAATTCCCTGTTGTGCCTCCCTGACAGTGGCTGGACTTGGTGATCCATTAGGATCCTTTCCAGCTCTGCAGTTCTATATTAAGATTAAGTGTCTCTCTCTATCAAGTTATATTGCCAAGAGACCCTGTAACCTGTCAAACTGCATTCACACAGAGGGATGGGCACAAACTATTGAACCAGATGGTTTGTACCAGCTTGTTTACTTGGCCCAAATAGCTGTTCTGCGCTTCCCAGCCCCGCCTCCTCCAGCAGGCACCCACTTAGAGGGCAGCGCTCAGAGGAGGCAAAGCAGGGAAGCCTGTGTGCTGCCTCTCAGTGGGCACCCACCAGAGGGCAGCCACCTATTCAGCCAAAACTGGTACAAACTGGTGAACCAGCGATTCATGCCCATCTCTAGGAACTTTCCATTTAATGCATCCAGTGTCCTCTTCTTTGAGAAATCAAAAAAAAGTAAGAACTTTGGTAGAATCTAGATTTGTCTTTAGCAAGAAACGCGCCTCTCTAAAGGCCCAGTTCAAGGCTGGGGCCAAGTTTTAATGTTCCAGACCAGTGCACTTAAAAACACTGCAGTCAGAAACCTCAGCAGTATTCAATTACTTCAAGCTGTAGTACACCACGACAAATTAACTTAGCAACTAATGAGCAGTCCATATCGAGCTATCCATCAGTACCAAATTCATTAGGATGCTGAACACCCTATAGCATGAGATCAGAACTTCTTCTCTCTTTCATATTTTCATGAATAATAAGCTTCTACAGCCTATATTTTAGAAGTGGCCAAAATTCTTTTTCATAGTAAATGCCTGCAGAAGGCAAATGGCATAACTTGCAGACATTTCTTGCCATCAATTAATGAGTCCCCTCTTGAAATTTTTGTCACCTATCAACCCACCAGCCTGTTGAGCAGCTGAAAATCCATGCAGTGATTTATTAACTGCCAGCTAACTGGGAATTGCTAGATTTATTAATTGCCAGGACTGTGATGTCCGTGTGTTCATGTTCGAACAATCGTCAACCTTCAAAGTGAAGCTAGTGCTTTCTTTGAAGGGCTGTCCAGCCCAGGAGAGCCAAAAGAAAAGAACATAGTCAGGGTCTTGAAACTCCCCATCAGTGCTTTGTGTACCTGGACAAGCACCCAATTCACAGGCCTGAGTACTTGTCCCAACTACAGTAGATGCACTGGGTCAGCAAGAACCTGTATCTTACTATTACATAATAGATCCAATGGGTCTACTCTGGTTAGGACTAAAACTTGGATTCATGCCAATGTCTTCGGAGTCACCTAAGATGCATTGCATTTGCATTTAAATGATGGTATTCATAGATGTGCATAGACAGATATTTATTTATTTGATTGTTTGTTTATTTGTTTTTTATTTATTTACTTATTTATTTATTGGCCAGAATCCTGTTGGGCAGGTTCTGCCTGCACAACAGGAATGATTTTATTGTTAGGAGAAGATTGCTGCTAATTAAAGAACACCCTTTCCAGTTTCAGGATGCATGCAACTTCGTCTCCTTGTGCGTAAGCAGTGTAGGCACCCAAAAATTTTTTTAAAAAAAGAAGTATTCAATCAGTAGCAATTTCCTATTGATTATGACAGCATTTCTGTAGTACAGGCAGAGCTGCACAACAGGATTTGAATTGCTATATACAAACACGTTTCATACAGAACTCTGCTTCCTTTATTGTTGTTGTTGTTTCTTTTACACATTTGCAGCTATTCAAATCTATGTCCTCTTTCCTAGTGTTTTGTTTGTTTTTTGCTTTCTGGGGTGATACATAAACAACAACAATCTGGTTGAAGCTCTGCTTATAAGCCCCTGGATACATATGATTAGTGACCGTTGGAAACAACAATACTTAGACTACATGGCTTACAAAGTTGTTTTTCTATCACAGGCCCATAGTGGCTCCTTTTGTCCCATGCAGATTAATCAAAACGTGGCAGGTGACATTATAGGAAGGAAGGAAGGAAGGAAGGAAGGAAGGAAGGAAGGAAGGAAGGAAGGAAGGAAATATAATTTTGCTTCTATTATGTTTACCTTTCTCTCATGTAACCTTCCCTAACCTAGGCATCCTCAGATACCAACTGACATCACCCCCCCCCATCATGCTGACTAGGGCAGATGGGAATTGTTGTCAAACGCTTCCAAGGGCACCCAGGTTGGGAAGGGCTGCTGTAGAGAATTTAACTGGTCGGTTTTAAAAATTGCTGTTAATTATCTGTGATCTGCAGTCCACAGATATTTTTCCTAGAAAGTTAGTTTTTAACTTTAAAAAAAAAGAGGGGGAAAAAGTCAGCAACAAACTGCACGGAAATCCTACATAAAATGTTCTCCCTGGAATATTATTATTTTTTGTTTGTTTCTTAATATGTTCTTCAACGTAAAGGGACAAAACGTGTCCTTCTATTAAAAGCAGGGTCACCATGTTCGTTTTAAAGGAAATAGCCAGCATAAATTGAGGGTGGCACCACCTTCTTGTTGATTTGTGTGAAAAGGAAATGGAGCCAAGCCAGGAAATTTAGACCTCTTTCTCTGAAGAGAAACTAAATATGTTGGTTTTTTCCTCCTCACATGCAATGGCAGGTTACTCTTTCCTGAGAAGTCTGGGTTTCACAGATGTGAATGTTCACCTGACATGGCGGTTTACACTGTGCAGGGAAAAGCCTCCTTCACTATCTTGGGAACGATGATGGTAGAGAAGGCAGAAACAAAAAGCGAATCTTTGTACAGGGCGTTGCTGTACAAAAAAAGAAACTTTTTCCAAATTCTAGACAATGTCCCCCTCTGGCCCAGCAGTGTCCACTCACATCAACAAGAGACTTTGGAACTCCCTTCCACAGGAGACCAGGTTGACTGCATCTCATCTTGAACTCCCTTCCACAGGAGACCAGGTTGGCTGCCTCTCGTCTTTGCAAGCAGGCAAAGACCTTTCTCTTTGGGCAAGCTTTCCCTGAGTCGCTGGCTGACTGCGTGGAGTTTTAAAATGAATGGTTACGCCTTACTGCTTTGAATGTGGTTTAGGTGTCCCTTTCTTTACCGTCTTTAATGCCGTATTTGTTTGATCCTTTTTAGTATTTTGTATACTTACTGTTTTAGCTTTTAAATATTGTCTTTTATGTGATATAAGCCACCTTGGGTCCATTTGAAGGTGAAAGGTGGGGTAAAAATATTTTAGACTATTTTTTTTGATATAAGCCACCTTGGGTCCATTTGAAGGAGAAAGTTAGAGTAAAAATATTTTAACTTTTAAAATAGACAATTTTTTTTTTAAAAAAAAGACTAAAACAAGAAGGGGAACAATTGTTGCATTAAGCAACACATCCTGGTTTCCCTTCAGCCCTGCTGCTATGCATGCTTTCTGTAGAGCAGGGGTAGGAATCATAGACCTGAGCTGAGCACCAAGAGGGCTCAAAGGCTGGTTTTGCTGGCTTGCTGGCCCTAGCACCAAATTTGAAGGGTACAAAATGAGAAAGGCTGTTCTTGGAAGCATTTAGGATCCATGGTTCTCCTCTAGAGCAAGATATGTGCCATATATACACAACAATGGAAAATCTCCCCTCTGCAAAAAATTGGGAGTACCCTATTTTTCCATATATAAGACGCCCCCCACTTTTCTAATGCAAAATCAAGAAATCTAAGTGGGGCTTAGCAAGTGTAGGGGGAAAGGGATAAAAATGCTGCAGAATCAATTTGATTCCTGCTTTCCCCTCCACTTGTTTTTGTTCTCTCCTCAGCTTACTTCTGTGTATAAGATGACCCTCAATTTTTAGCCTAAAGATTTTAGACAAAAGTATAGTCTTATACATGGAAAAATAGGGTAGGTTTTTTTTTAAACTACAAGTGACCTTCCAGTTGCTTCCCGTCTTGCATAGAGGGGCCATTTCAGCCTGCACATAAGTTCCTGGGCTTGGAAAAATGTTTCCCAAAACATGGGTTTTTCTCCACTCTTGCTCCAGAGGCAAAGCTGAAGAGACTGATTCCTAATACACTGTGTTGGCCATAGTGTCTAATTTATTCCTGTGTCACTCCCTGCTCGGAGCTCTGACTAGCCATTTTGATATTCGGGGCAAGCAGCACTGTCTCCTGTCCACCCTGAGACAAAGGTACAAATCCAGTCATTTTCCTAACACTTACTAGTATAATCACAACTAAAGTTTGGCATTCTCCAAATATGGGTGCCGTGGAGCAAAGCCTTGGTTGTCCTGCCCTAATTACAACCCTGATTTTTATTTCATGCTTTTTTAAAAACAGAAAAGCTGGAGAATGACCGTGGTAGAAACAACTGTTCCACTCTGGAGCTACCGTCGTTCCTATGGAGCTTGGCTCTCACTAAACACAGAGCAGTGGTTCCCAACCTTGGTTCCGCCAAATATGGGTGCCGTGGAGCAAAGCCTTGGTTGTCCTGCCCTAATTACAACCCTGATTTTTATTTCATGCTTTTTTAAAAACAGAAAAGCTGGAGAATGACCGTGGTAGAAACAAATGTTCCTCTCTGGAGCTACAGTTGTTCCTATGGAGCTTGGCTCTCACTAAACACAGAGCAGTGGTTCCCAGCCTTGGTTCCGCAGATGTTCTTGGACTCAAACTCCTAGAAGCCTTCACCGCTAGCTGCTCTGGCCAGGATTTTTGGGAGTTGTAGTCCAAGAACATCTGGGGAACCAAGGTTAGGAGCCACTGACGTAGAGAGTGGCTGACCACTGATCCTACTTTATTTTTCATTTTATATCCCAATTTGGTTGGGATATACCCTCCGCCACCTTGTGATCTTTCATTTCCAGATGGGTGGCTGTAGCTCAGTGCAAGGGTTGACATTTAATACCCTGCCAGGTAGAGATTAGGAAAACTTCAGCCTGATAGACTTAAGAGATGCTGCTGATAGTCAATGTCAGGAGCACTAGGCTAATAGTCTGCCTTGGCTCCCTATGCATTGCTTGAGAACATTACATTTCGGGGCTGCAATTCACAGAGTCCATCACTGGAAAAAGCCAGACTTTGGAGCCCTCTCTATGCATATTGATGGTAGAGAACCAAAAAGCAGAACAACAACAACAACAACAAACAGAATCCTGTGCAATCATAAGACCCTGGAACTAAATCTTGGCATTCAGACATCGCCAAACTTGAACGACAACCCAGTTAAAATCCGAGGAGCAACTTTAGTATGGTCTAGGATCCATGGTAACTGCAACCTTGGTTTCCCATGTCTCCCACTGCATTTTGAAAGGATAATCGGGAAACCATTTTATTTGCAGTTTCATAGTTTTTGTAGATGCATCATCTTCTGCCCTAGACTCTGGACAGTTAAACCTCCACTGAAAGAGGTCCTACATCAGGGCTGGAGTTAGGCAAAATTAATTAATTAATTAATTGACTAACCGGTGGTTCGACTTGGATTTAATTCCCATTTTTCTTTCAATGACTCAAACTGATTTGCTACTCGGAACCCACCCACCCACCGCATCCCTATTTTCTAGGCAAAAAAAAAAGCTTGTTATAAATAGAGAATTGGACTTGGGACTTGTCTTGGGTACCAAGTACCAAGTCCAAATCAAACTTGGGACTGAAGGTCTTGGGTACCAAGTCCCAAGTCCAAGTCAAACTTGGGACCAAAGACTCAGACTCAGGCTTCGGATTCGGACACAAAGCCTTGCCAGCATCCCTGATCAGCCCCTCTTCTCTCCCCCCCCCCGTCATTTAAAGCACTGAGTTATTTGTCCAAGCAGCCTTGTAAACCATCCAAAATATTGAGAGAAACAGATGTAGAAACAAACAAAAGTACTATTTCCTTAGGGCCAAAGGACACGGTACATGCAGTCATGTGTAAATCGTCTCCAGTTTTTTCTCTCTTTTTTTTAATGAAAAGCAGCCACTGGAGCCTGTGTTTTGCAGAAATACATGGGGCAGGAGGGGGGCTTGCTTAACTCTTTCCCCTCCGGCCAGCTTTCCACTCCCCTTTCTTCCCCAAGCTGCTTTTCCTCCAAAAGGGAAAAGCAACAAAGGTCCCCATATATTCCCGCACATAAAGAGAAACACAGATGGGCAGAAAAAGTAGAACAAATTGAGTAAAATCCAAAGGGAAACTTCATTGCAATTGCCCAGATTTTTCATTTTTCTCTAAAACTTTTGCAGTCCCTGGTACTGTTCTAGCAACGAAGCGGACCCAAGTTTCAACAAATACCTTTACCCATCATCGCTGCTAATGATCACATCCTTCTTTCTTTCTTTCTTTCTTTCTTTCTTTCTTTCTTTCTTTCTTTCTTTCTTTCTCAGTTATTCTAAAACTGAAATAAAAGTGAGCAGACTGACTCAAAACCTCACTGCTAATGCTCTTAGGAACAAGTGACATCGCTGCATGTACACAGCTGGAGAAACGGAGTCTGCGGGTTGGGGACTACATTGCCCATAATTCTTCAGCGAGCTGGGCCCTTCCATGCTGGCTGGGGCATTCTGGGAGTTGTTGTCCAACGGAGAAGTTTAGACGGAATCTGGGTGCAATCGCCATGCTGGCTGGGGGATTCTGGGAGTTGTTGTCCAACGGAAAAGTTTAGACGGAATCTGGGTGCAATCAGACAGCAGGAAAAACCACACGTTCGATCACACCGAGAGAGGCAACTGCAGGAAGTGGTTTCCCTTAAGCAAAGGAATTCAGCTTAGGCTCCAAAAGTAGTAATAGTAAACCTACAGGTTGTCCAAAAAAGGCCAGCTTGGGCTTGGATCGGGGCCAGGCGGGAATGCAATTCCCTTTACATCATGAGATTGCTGGAAAACTGATAGCACCAGACTGCTCCATTAGAGGTTTAAAATGCAATCTGTTCCCCCATGTGATGGCAGTCTCTATTTCTTCACTATTTCACACTCGGAAGAGTCTCTCTTAAATTTTATTTATGATTGATTGATTTTATTTTTTTAAATGTCTATTTATATTTCTCCTAAAGGATGCAGAGAGGCTTGCGGTATGAAAAGAAACAAAGGCAACAGCTAAATCACAAATTATTATAATATTTTTTTTCTGTTCCCCCATGTGATGGCAGTCTCTATTTCTTCACTATTTCACACTCGGAAGAGTCTCTCTTAAATTTTATTTATGATTGATTGATTTTATTTTTTTAAATGTCTATTTATATTTCTCCTAAAGGATGCAGAGAGGCTTGCGGTATGAAAAGAAACAAAGGCAACAGCTAAATCACAAATTATTATAATATTTTTTTAAAGCATTATGCGGTATGAAAAGAAACAAAGGCAACAGCCAAATCACAAATTATTATAATATTTTTTAAAAAAAGCATTAAACAGAGATCGTATTAAAACTCATACATAAGAGCAATGTGAATAGCTCAAGTAAGACAACAGAATAAAAAAAATCCTCTTGGTCAACCAAAGGAAAGGAAAGCCTGCCTGAAGAGAAAGGTCTTCGATGCACCATTAATAACAAAACCCAAACTTTTTCAGCTTTTTTGAGGCGGGGAAGGAGTTTTATGACATTCCACCTCTTTTCTAAAGAATAAAATTCTCTCTTTTTTTATCTCCTTCCAAGCCAGCCACATGCTTCCCCCCCCCATCCTCCACCTTGCTCAACCACCACTACCCTTTTGAAAACCCTTCACAAAAAAAAAACCCCATCAACCACGTACTTGGTTGTAAAAGACAAATCAAAAATCAAAAGATATACATATAGAGAGACATAGAAATGGTACATAACTTGGCAGGCATAGTGAAAAGGGGGGGATGGGTTGCCTCAAAAACCCTCTTCTGTACAGACAGATAAGACTTTGGGTGGGGTGGACCAGTTCTAATCCCTCCAGAAAGTTCTCCATCTTGGGCTGAGGAAATTCAAAAACACAACATGACAGGGAGGGAGAAAAGAAAAGAAAAAATAAGAAGTTAGTACAGTTTGGAGAGTTGAGTGACTTACCAGCCTTCGCTTGGGTTTTATCAGGGGCCGGTTCTGCCCGTTCATTTTATGATATAGTCCACAGGCGTTACAAAGATAGTGCCCGGTGCCATCTCTCCGCCATAGTGGGGTCGAGGTAGCGCCACAGTTTACACACTCCCTGCCTTCTGGAAACAAGAGGGGACAAAGTTGATTGAGAGATAGCCAAGGGGGAAGAAAAATGGGGGTCGGGAAAGGTCATAACAATTGCCCCATCAAGTTCAACATTATCGTCCCATCTTCCCAGATTGAAAGCCAAATGTGGCACCGAAAAATCGGATATTAAAAAATCCAGAGGTTGGAAATGTTTGAATTCCTACAAATGGCAACGCTGGCCAGAAGCAACTTTTCCAAACTCTGAGGGTGAGCCAGATCATTAAAGCTCTCCAAGCTGATTAATTCTCTGTGCCATTATCTAAACTGACTAACTATCAATACTGTTCTAAAGGTCTGAGGTGAAAAGTCCTCTTGTGTTCAGTGATGGTTGCTCCAGGATCAGGCATGTAGGACTGAAGCTGGTTTGGTTTCTCATGGATTAAGTCATACACTCTGAACCTGTTTTGGCAGTGAATTAAATTACAGGTTGGGTCTAGATTTCGCCACATTTAGTGTCACTCCGTGGAGTCCAGGGATCATGGATTGCTGAAGTGGGTTTGCTCAAAATAGGATTCAACCCAGATCCATCCAAATATTGCTGTAGAGAATAAAGAGGGTGGACGACTGTCTTTGAGTGAGGATGCATGCTTTAAGATAGGCACCGTCGTAGGAAAAAAAAATATTCCCTCTTCTCTCCTGGGAGATGGAGTGGCATCCACAGTTTTTGTCCTGAAAATAAGGAACTAGTGTAGTCTAATACATGTACACACAATTTTTGCTCAGTGGAGAGGACTACTCTCTACTCTCTCAGTGGAGAGATGTTCTGGTAGAGCGGGAACATCTTGCTATGATATTTTCTTTCCCTTATTACTCACTCCGGTGTGTATCCACGCTGCCCATTTAATCAAGGATCATGATTTGGTGGATCAGAAATGTTTTGCTCGATTAATCTAACCCATTTAATCAGTTAATAAATATTGCAGCCCCGTGAATAAACAGAACAATCGAATTTGACCTTTTCAAAGGCTGGATTTCTGTGGCATTCATGAGAAGCTTAATACAGTATTCATAGAATCGTAGAATAACAAAGTTGGAAGGGGGCCTATAAGGCCATCAAATCCAACATCCTGCTCAGTTCAGGAATATAAATCAAAGGATAGCTGCCAGGTGGTTGTCTTAAGTTTCTCTTAAATGCCTCCAGCATTGGAGCCTCCAGAGGTCATGGTTTCCATTGTCATACTGCTCTAACAGTTAAGAAGTTTTTTCTTCTTCTGATATTCAGCCTAGATCTGGCTTCCTGTAGTTTGAGCCCATTATTACGTGTCCTACACTCTGGGATGATCAAGAACAGATCCTTCCCCTCCTCTGTATGACTAACTTTCAAGTATTCTGAAAAACAATACTTTCTGGAAAGAAACACTGTGTTACGTACAATATTTTTAAACAGACGTTCCGTTTCTTACATGGGCAGGAGAAGTAAACAGATTAAAATTAATACCCACCACCTTAAATATGCAAACAGTGTTCTATTTGTATCTCCTTGCACTATTCTTGCATTAAAGAGCATCTTGTGGCCATTGTCAACATTCGGTGAATGCTACCCTTGTAGTGGTGACATCAAGGCCAGATTTTGGGCATAGCCCATAGCAACAAGGAGCCCTATATATGAAGCCTAGCTGTCACATTTTGAAGCGATATCAGGAGAAAGGCACCAGGCGGTCTATAATTAAAACAAACAAACCTATACACCTTATAATTAAAAGACAGAAAGGTGTAAAATGTAAATATTCCATACAGACAAAGACTTAGCACTAGAGCAAAACAAGTGAATGCACAACGTCCAGTTTAACAGAACTTCTCATTTTTGAGATGAAAATTTTGTTTCAACCTGTGTTCTCATCGGATTCTCAAAATGGCAAAACTCAAGAACAAAAAGACCTCCACTCAAAAATCCATATGTGTTTTTAAGACATTTCCTGAGATACACATTTTTGTATAAAATTTCCTATGGCAATTTTTGGAAGCATTTCTCCATTCCGTAATACATGTTTACGGGGCATCCCTTCTCCTCATGAAGGCATTTTGTTCACTTCGGGTTTTTTGAGTTGCAAACCATATCACAAGTGTGTGTGTGTATTGTATAAAATTTCCTATGGCAATTTTTGGGAGCATTTCTCCATTCCATAATACATGTTTATGGGGCATCCCTTCTCCTCATGAAGGCATTCTGTTCACTTCGGGGTTTTTTTCACAAGTGTGTGTGTGTAGGGGGGGGTAGATTTCAGCAAACAACTGCATTCTAGGTGATTTATAAGTACAGCACAACTGAATTCAGTGTTGTTAGTGTGTCCCATCAAATTAGTTCCAGCCAATGATATTCTAGGGTTTATGAGGACTCTGGAGACAGGCGGTGCAGCATGGCCTCTCCCAATTTGAAGAGACGCTTGTTCAGCAGGCTGAGGCAAAGAGGAAGTCCCAAAACCAGCCAAACCAGGGAGCTGGACAGGGGACAGACTGTATTTGTCTTCAGTGTGGAGGGGATTGTCACTCTCAAATTGGCCTTCTCAGCCACACTAGACACTGTTCCAAGACCTCTATTCAGAGCACGTTACCATAGTCTCTCGAGACTGAAGGATGCCTACATGGAGTGGGTTTTTTTTAAGTATTTAAGAAGGTCAAGGAGTGGTTTATGATTGCCACCCCCTAACAAGTCTCCCTAGCCAAGAGATTTGATCCGGGTTCTCTTGAATCCTAGCCCAACTTTGAGCCACGTTCTCCTGAGTTCTAGCCTAACTTTCTAACTCGAACATCAAACTGCCTCTCCATGTATGGTATGTTCAAGCAAAACTGAACTCAACTGTGTGACGCATTCATATAAAAACGAAGGGCTTTAAAGCTCTCTGTCAGTCACTAAGCAACAGACTAGACTAGATCAGCAGATTAGGGCTGGGAAAATATCTGCTACTGGAATACGACTCACATAATCCACTATCTATGCTGGCTGCAGGATCCCGGGTGTTGTAGTCAAGTAAAGGCTCGTTTTCATGCTCTGCAGCAAGGAGAGCAGGTGAATGGATCACTTACTCTTCTCCACTTCAGTGACATGTGGCCTACTGAAATTACAGTAATTGTTCCTAAGTGGCCATCTACTTGCATCTAGCCAGTCGTCAGTAACGGATGTCTTAGACAACACTCTGTCTTGTTTCATCTTATTTTGGGGTGGTATATTCCTTCCCCACCCCCTTTTTTAAAACTCAGAGCAGCATATATGTGTGTTGTGTACCATCGAGTCAGAACCGGTTTAGGAACCTGCCAGGGAAATGTTTGATCTCAAATAACATACCTCCAAAATACCTCTCTCAAACCTCAAAAGGGCTTTCAAGGTCAGTGAAATATTTAACGAGGGTTTAACCAGTTTTACTCCCGGAGTGAGTTTCCGTGGCCAAGCGGAATTCAAACCCAGGTCTCCTAAGTCTGCAAGCGCAATACTACACCACAATAGGTACGAGTGACACATCTAAATGTATTTTATCTTTGCCGACCTAAGAATTTCTTCTCGTTGCTGTCATGTGCCACTTCTAGGGACCCTAATAAGGTTTTCCAAATATGCACGCTATTTCATACACACACACAGCGAGTTTGCACGGCTGAGCAGGGATTTGAATCCCGGTCTTCTGAGTTCTAGTCAGCCACCCAATACTGGTTCTCAATTGTTGGTTGACCTGCCTTTTCAAAGGCTCAGCCTCCCAAAGGGATGGCTTTTGTCTTCCTCATAAGTATTGCTCTCCCTGCAGTCCACTTTATTCACCTCCCATATTAACCATGTCAGATTTCTCCTCCACCCACACTCAGATCAAACCATTTCACTGGCTGTTGAGTGGGGGAAAAGTTATTTGATTCTTCCCTAGTCCAAACTACAGGTGAACAAATCTTCCTTGTTCCCCCAAGTCTTGAGGTGTTAGATCAAACAAACAAACAAAAAAAAACACCCCACACTAGCACCCATTTTCCTCGCAATGTTGATTACTGTAAATAAACGGAAATGTGCGAGAACCCAGCAGCAACTGGCAAAGCCGAGATGGAAGAAGGCTTAAGCAGGTTTCATGGAAGAGCAGCCTCTTTTGCATTATTGGTGCCACATGTTGCTGTCGTTAATATATGCAGAATGCAGAAGAATGTATACATTCAAATAATGCAGATGTTCTATTTGCATTCTAGATCAATTGATATGTGAAAATGCCCAGGGTCAAACCAGATTAACAGATGGTGACATGAAATGTCTCCCATAAATCTAGGGAAAAAATGACTTCAGTTATGAAAGCACATATCCTAGAATAGCCTTCCCTTCCCTGGCAACCTTCATATGTGTAGGACTACAAGTCCCATTGACCTCTTTTTGTACCACAATTCCCGCCATCCCTTGCTGGT